AGTTGCGACTTGACTTCGAGGAGCAACTCATAGCACGCGGTGTGGTAGCCTTTTTTGAGGTTTTTGAAGACTTTGGTGATTTTTGAAGCTTTTCCAAAACTTTCCCGACACCGTGCTTCGCAAGACGAAAAATCACAAGACGAAAAACTCGCGGAACGAATTAATTTCGTCTTGCGAGGCACCACTGTAAGTCTTAATTTCTATTTTGCAGCAACTTCCTTAGCACAATTTCCAACATTTTAGGCAAAGTTCAAAACTATGAAGAAATGTTTTTTTGACAGCTAAGCAACCATCTACAACAATATGGACAAATAACAAATTCGCTCTTTTATTTAATGATCAATGCTCCATTGCAGAGGAGCAGTCACATTTTAAAAGGCTACTGCATTTCAAGCAGAGATACACCTTCCTCAACACCAAGCCTCAGTCAAAAGAAGGAAGAAAATAGCTGCTTTACTACAGAAATTTCCTAAACCAGAAAATGTTGCTTTTGAGCACCAAACAATTGTAAGCAAAGTCTGTGAAATCTTATCTTGTTGGTGCCATGAGAGATGTCTTGGCAGGGCCTCATGAGCCTCCAATGCTCACAACTTAATGGTCTGTTTAGGGATTTATATAGCACTTCAATTTGTCAAGTGCTTTATATCATAAGTCATAACATCCCTACTGCAGATAGTGAGTAGAGGCTGACAAACTGTGACTTTGCCAGGGCCACTCAGTAAATCAATATGTGCACCGGGATGGTTTCCAAAGGTCTACACACCAGGTAATGGCTCATTAAATAAGAAGACTGTCTTCTCATTTCCTAATTTAAAAACAATCTAACTGCACATGCATACCATTTCTAGGCAAAATATGTGCAATCATACAACAAGGGACACTAAAAGAGCATTTGAGGAGCACATTGCTAAAACCAAGAAGGTTAACTGTGGCAAGCTCCCTTAGTAAAGGATGGAGCGAGGTTACGTTACTGGGCCTGAATAGTTTAAATTTAAGACAATCCCTATCAGAAACAAATCTGAATTAAGAGATTATGTGCCTGTGGAGCTGTTTACTACAATTCAGCAACAAGGACTCTTATTGTTGTGGGTGTCCTATCACCATTTATTTCCTGAACTGGGGCAAAAATAAATATGAGGGCATGATGGGAACAAAACTGTAAAGCACTCTATGAGGGATAAAGCTTAGTGATTTTGCTAGTAAAGGTACAGTACTTAGTTATACAGATGCAATTAAGAACTTTACTTATTTCCAATAAATCAAATTCTTTCTTTAAAAAAACCCCATCTGCTTCTCTAGTCAGGCACCATTGGCCCTTTAAACTGTCAAATTCTACCTTTTTACTCTCTACCCATTCCTGATTTGTTGTTTTACCACTCTGCCATGATTGGCTACAGGGTCTTCAGGAGGATGACCCCCAGGTCTGTCCATCACATCACCTACTGGCTAGGGAAGCAGCTGGAACTCTGGATGATAAGGGACTCAGCTATGTGCTAGAGGAGGATACTATAGAGAGCAGAAAAACTGAATGAATTCTGTCTTCTCAGTACAAGTTAAAGGGCAAATCACCGTCCCTCAGCTTTCAACATAATTTCTGACATCAAAACACGAAAATCAAGCCAAAACCTCCCTACACATTCTACCACCCCATTTATTACCATTCCCTCCCATTTCTTTATCAACTTTCCACTTAATCTAATGTAAGATTATGGAAAAGAACAAAAGACAATGTTTAAGAAGTATGCATTGCAGTTCTGGAACTGATATTGCCCATATTATCTTACATGCCAAAAGCATTGTAAGAGGAAATGAGGAGGCACAAAAGATCCTGCTCCAGAATGATGTCACTAAAGGCTACCGTATTTTTCGCACCATAGGACGCACTTTTTCCCTCCTAAAAAGCAAGGGAAAATGTGTGTGCGTCCTATGGAGCGAATGCAGGCTTTCGCTGAAGCCTGGAGAGTGAGAGGGGTCGGTGCGCACGGACCCCTCTCGCTCTCCAGGCTTCAGGAAGCTATCCGCTAGCCGTGGGAGACCCAGTTCTCCCACGGCTAGCGGAGCGCTGCATTAATCCCGAAGCTTGGGGCGTGCGGAGCTCAGCGCGCCCCAAGCTTCTGGGTGCCGGCAAGGTCTCCGCTAGACGGCTAGCGGAGACCTTGCTGGCACCCAGAAGCTTGGGGCGCGCTGAGCTCTGCACGCCCCAAGCTTTGGGATTAGCGCTCCGCTAGCCGTGTCTAGGCTGCGGATAGCAGCCTGCTTCCCCGAGCGTCGGGCACCCTGAAAGCAGAGCGCCCGGCGCTTCGGGAACACATCCGCAGCGTGGGGACCCTTGCAGGAGTTCCCCGCAAGGCTCCCCACACTGCGGATAGCAGCCTGCCGCCCGGCGTGAGGAGCGCCCTGAAGCAGAGCGCCCCTCGCGCCGGGCAGACATCCGTAGCGTGGAGAGCCTTGCAGGAGTTCCCCGCAAGGCTCCCCACGCTGCGGATAGCAGCCTGCTTCCCGGAGCGTCGGGCGCCCTGAAAGCAGAGCGCCCGCGCTTCGGGAACACACCCGCAGCGTGGAGAGCCTTGCAGGAGTTCCCCGCAAGGCTCCCCACGCTGCGGATAGTAGCCTGCTTCCCGGAGCGTCGGGCGCCCTGAAAGCAGAGCGCCCGCACTTCGGGAACACACCCGCAGCGTGGAGAGCCTTGCAGGAGTTCCCCGCAAGGCTCCCCACGCTGCGGATAGCAGCCTGCTTCCCGGAGCGTCGGGCGCCCTGAAAGCAGAGCGCCCGCGCTTCGGGAACACACCCGCGGCGTGGAGAGCCTTGCAGGAGTTCCCCGCAAGGCTCCCCACGCTGCGGATAGCAGCCTGCTTCCCGGAGCATCGGGCGCCCTGAAAGCAGAGCGCCCGCGCTTCGGGAACACACCCGCAGCGTGGAGAGCCTTGCAGGAGTTCCCCGCAAGGCTCCCCACGCTGCGGATAGCAGCCTGCTTCCCGGAGCGTCGGGCGCCCTGAAAGCAGAGCGCCCGCGCTTCGGGAACACACCCACACTGTGGAGCGCCTTGCAGGAGTTCCCCGCAAGGCTCCCCACGCTGTGGATAGCAGCCTGCCGCCCGGCGCAAGGGGCGCCCTGAAGCAGAGCGCCCCTCGCACCAGGCATACATCCGCAGCGTGGGGAGCCCTGCAGCAGTTCCCCGCAAGGCTCCCCAAGCTGCGGATAGCAGCCTGCCGCCCGGCGGGTGCGGCGCCCTGAAGCAGAGCGCCCCGCGCGCTAGGCAGACATCAGCCAGCCCCACAAGCTCGGGGGACAGCAGGGAGGCGCAGCGCCACTATCCCGCTGTTCCTCGACCTGGTTCGGTTTCCCTGACCTGCTTTTGGGGGGGAAATAAAGGGAAATTTTTTTCCCTTTATTTCTCCCCAAAAAAACTAGGTGCGTCCTATGGTCCGGTGCGTCCAATCGTGCGAAAAATATGGTAATTTCTCAACGTAGATGCCAATGCTACTTCCTCATGTTTGAAGATCCAGCGTGTATTTGTGCCCATGGCTTTCACATGAGCAAGGAAGAAGACATGCAGGGCACTAGACCTTTGGCGGATCTAGTACTTGCTCTGGATAGTTGGCATCAAGTGAAACCCAGGAAGCCAATTATTTAGTATAATTCAATCCAACCATCTTTTCCCTTTGCTTCCCACAATTCTAGAGATAAGCATTAAGAAGTTCTTTAACAGAGAACTTGAGTACAAAAATGACTATGAATAATAACCTAACCATAGCAGTACCACCACCACCAAATATTCCTAATTTTTCTGGTCACATGGATTTAAAGATATAATACAGTGGTACCTTGGTTCTTGAATGTAATCCGTTCCAGAAGTCTTTTCAAGTTCTGAAACGTTCGAAAACTGAACACTGAAAGTGGAAGCCTCAAAAAGGAAGCCACGTTTCCTGTTCGACTTTGGAGGAGTGTTCAAAACCCGAGGCATTTACTTCTGGGTTTTTGGTGTTCGAGTTCCAAAATGTTTGACTATGGAGGCATTTGAAAACTGAGGTACCCCTGTACCTTTAACAAGAAGAATTAAACTATATAATGCATTACGAAGTATGTCATTTTGGATCTCTGAAGTTCATTTGATCTTAAATTACAAGCAGCTCTGGAGCAGTTTTCAATTGTGCTGTCAGATTCTCTTTGGCGACCAGGAGACAGCAAATAAGAAGGAAACTTGGTGCAGAAGTTTATGGGTGGTATGTTTTTCTCCAGCTGCTTTAAAGATTTCAATGGCCAATTCAATTAGTTAACAGCTAGCAAATCTAACTACAAGGGATTTCACTGGAAACAACCAGAAGATATTGGAACACATATATCACAAACCCTGGGAGAGTAACACACAGATTTTTGTTATCTGAAGCAACAACATGCACGGCTGCACTTGCATGCTCTGCTGACATAAATAAGGCTGGTACACAAACGAAGATGTTTTGGCATAATAAAGCAGTGCATAAATGAAAATGGCTATTGTTCGACAACACCTTTTCTAATTTAGCTCTTTAAGAAACACTGGCAAAATCAATGTTTGCTAAATGGGAAAGAACAAAATCAGCAGAGAAAGGAATTAAATTTTCAGCCTTTTAAATCAATATCTGAAAGAAGTGAGACACGAACCGGAGGCAGTATCCTCATGCACTAAAGCACCACAGATTAAAGCTAGGAAAGAAATAATTATATAGGAAATATTTCTTCCAAGGTAAATTGCAGTTTTGAAACAAGAGGTACTACATACAAGTAGCTAGAAATCTGGGAAATCTAGGCTTAAGACCCATCAGATCAATTTATAAAAGCTTTTATTTGGTTCAGATTTTGATAATTTCATGTAAACGGCTATATTTACAACTATCACTGAAACCCAGACGGATTGCCTCAGCCACTGCAGATTTTTAGGCATAACACATTAGAAGAATTCATTAGTATAATGATCTGAAATGAGCTGAGCCACCCATTCAAATCAAAACACAAAGACTTACCTCCAATAATTTTAGACTGGCAATTTATAAATTCTGGCTTTTTGTCTGTAAGGTACCGCTGACAGGTATGATGGAGAATTTGAAAGAATGTACATTTTTCAGAGGCTGTGCTTGCTACCCATTGGTCAAAAGCATTTTCAAATAGTAAATCAAATTCTGGGGAATCCTAGAAGGAATAATATTAGAATTACAGGAGAAATGATATTTTTTTAAAAAAAAAACCCCAAAGCAAATGTTAAAGAAAATGATGTACACTTATTATATATAGCCCAACTTCTTGCAACTTTTGAAAACATATGTCATGTATGCAATTCCATATTATAATGTAGAATATCATGACTAGAACTACTACAAAAGTCAGCAAAATTGCTAAAGGAAATTCAGGAACAGATGTCATGAGGTTGTTTAACCTGGCTAACTCCACTCCCATTTAATACGAAGAGTCAAACACCAGTTCACACCTACAGTTACGCCATATTTTGAAAAAACAAACAAACCCCTGATTAAACCACAGTTTAACAATCAAATGGTATATAAATTGTATGGAATAAAAATAATGCTCACAAGTGCTTTGCTCTTTCTTGCTCGATTGTGATGTACAGTGGAAGCTTGGGTTGCGAACGTGATCCGTGCGGGAGGCACGTTCTCAACTCGCAGTGTCACATTTTTGCATACGCGGGTCACGATTCGACGCTCCTGCACATGCGCCGAAACCCGGAAGTAGCCCGTTCTGGTACTTCCGGGTTCGGCGCGGTGCGCAACCCGAACATGTAACCTGAAGTGTCTGTAACCCAAGGTACCACTGTACAGGGGATGAAATGAGCCATAGTCTGACTTAAGAGTGTAAACCTGTCATTTGTTTTCTCCAAACAAGTCATGTATGCTAAAGCCAAGAACAAACCTTAGCCAGAAGCAAACCAGGATTCCAGGATCACACATCAAGGCAAATAAAATTGTTGTTTCTTTCCTCCTTCCCTCACATGGCACGATCAGCCGTGGAGGAAGAAAAACAATTAATTGTAAACCAGACGTACCCAATGTGGTGCCTTCTAGATGTTATTAGAGTACAATTCCTTTCAGCCCCAGGAGCATGGCCAATGGCAAGGGATTATGGGGACTGAAGATTATGGAGGGTACAACATTGACTATCCCTGTTTTGAACTGTGGTTGAATGCTGCATGCAATCTAGGCCACTGAATCCATCTGGTTCTGCGACGACCATTTGTCAAGCTACAGTAGCGTGATCCATCATCAGGTGCCACATTGGGCTAGTGCTGCTTTGAAGCAGCAGGTAGATGGTCCTATCTGTGCCTCTAGCATGCTATCAGCAGGATCATCACTCTCTAGTAGGCATGGGGTCAGACAACATTTTGTCTCCCATGTACAGTGGTACCTTGGTTTGCATACGTTTTGGATTACAAACACGTCAAACCCGGAAGTGCGTGTCCTAGTTTGCAACCTTTTTTGGATTACAACCCATTTATTTATTTTTTGGATTACAAACAAAAAAATTTTGGAGGCCCCATTGGCGAAAGCACATCTTGGGTTACAACCTTTTTTGGTTTATAAATGGACCTCCGGAATGGATTAAGGTTGTAAACCAAGGTACAGTGGTGCCTTGCAAGACGAAAATAATCCGTTCCGTGAGTCTCTTCGTCTAGCGGTTTTTTCGTCTTGCGAAGCAACCCTAATAGCGGCTTAGCGCTATTAGCGGCTATTAAAGGCTTAGCGGCTAAAAGGCTATTAGCGGCTTAGAAAAAGGGAGGGGGGGGAGCGAAAAAAATCGCAAGACTTGCAAGACGTTTTCGTCTTGCAAAGCAAGCCCATAGGGAAATTTGTCTTGTGAAGCAACTCAAAAACGGAAAACCCTTTCGTCTAGCGGGTTTTTCGTCTTGCGAGGCATTCGTCTTGCTGGGCACCACTGTACCACTGTACAAAGAAAAGAGACAGCAGGAAGAATGAGGGTTAAAAATGGTATACCTTGCTGAAATCTATAGTTTTTAATTGTTCTGGACTTCTTCTAGAGTTATTTACCATAAAGATAAATGTTTAGTTAAGAGGACAAGTTTTCTTGCCTGGATATATTAATTAAATTCCCAATGCAACACTGGGACAAAATAATGGTTCAGATTATTCCAAGAGGAAGTTAGCAGCAGCAAAGAACATGAAAGCCTACAAGGTAAGGATAAGTTCATTCACACACAATGGGATTCCAAACACTTCTTTTTCCTAAAATAGCAAAGGTGAACAGATAGAAAAGTGGTGAAATCTAGAAAGGTTTACGAAGGAAATCGAAGCATTTGGAATCGATACCCAAGGTCCTGAAGGGCTGCACTTAAAAAGAATCCAAGACAAGACATGGTTTTCTTTTTTTTAAAAAAAAAATCAAATGGGTGAATTTTTCTTTTGGAAAACAGGAAGAATAAAAGATATGAAGCATCACACAAACAGAATATCACTAAATGGGAACGAGTCACTACTCACCTTATGAGGGTCTATTCCGTTAACCTGGCGAAGTTGTTCAAGCGTCCACTGCGACCTTCGGACAAAAGATGCGGAACCTCCAAACTGTTTGACTTTTGTAATAGATGCCTGTGCAGGTTTCTTGTTTGTCACTGTACACATAAAGAAATCCATGTATAAGCATACAGAAGGGTTTCTATCACTGCAAACAGGCTTGTTTACAGACCTGACAGTTTCCAATAAATCATGACAAGCGTGCCTCAACATATTTAAACCTAGATTCCTGTTCCTCACACTCCTGTTGCAAGAATGACCTCAACCTATTTTAGGCAACTGCAAAATAAAGTAACCAGAGTTCTGGCCGCTGAATAGCAAGCAGTGTGGTTATTCTCCTACAAAAAGCCTAATCCTACTTCCAGCAGAGACTTCTTCAACCTGGTGCCCTCCTGATGTTTTGGACTACAACTCCCATCACCCACAGCCAGGTACCACACTACCTGCACTAGACTTGAGTTTGTGGGTGTATTGCAAGTACAAAATCCAGTTTGCTCACACTACTCTGATGCATCAGAGAAGGCCCCAAGAACCTGATGCATTTACCATGACTGGATCCAAAGAGGTTTGAGACTGTTCACAAGTATTTTTGCACATGGAACAGGATATTTAGAATGCATACTTTTGTTTCTTCAGCAACAAACAGCTTTTCAAATAAGGAAATGTTGCTTTCAACACTTATACTGAAATGTATATGCATACAAAAGAGGTGTGTGTGTGTGTGTGTGTGTGTCATGCATTCTTGTTTTTATTTTTTGTTGTTTCATTTCTCACAGGGAAGATTTAAAATGGCATTGTCAAAAAGGAGTATAAACCTTTTAATGTCTTAAGACAAGTAGTATATACAGCACTTACAGATAAGATTAAAGGCTCACAATTTTAATGACAATATAATGACTATACTGCTGCAGTTTCTTCAAAATAATTTTGAATGTTCTTGCCCCATGTGATGTTGAAATTGTTGGCTAATTCAGTTCATCTTTTACACGGGCCTGAGGTTCCCACATCCCTCCTTTAGAGGCTGGATTTATTGCATGTCTCCCTGGCTGTGTAGTCTGATTTTTAATTCTGATTTATGGTGCAGTTTTTTAAAAAAGAAAAAAAAATAAAACATTTGTGGCTGGCTTTTATTGGTTGGTTTCCAATGAGTAATTCTGTTAGTGCAAGGATTTGTGTAAAGGAGCTTGCATTCTCTCTCCTCTCCCCATGGGTCTTCCAGGCCTTCTCTAAATCTGCTCCAGAGGGTTGGCGGAACCCCAGAATGCATTTAGGGGGCATGCAGGGAGAGGAAAGAGGGGATTGTTCTGTTGCACAGCTAGAAATCCTTTTGCTAATGGAACTACTTTGATGGATACTGCCCATTGCTTGAACTTTTCTGCATGAAGCTGTTGTTTTTTTAAGCTGCCTTGTATAAATGAGGAAAGGCAGTGCAGAAAACTGAGTCTACTTCATTATGACTCAATCATCATGATCTGTTTTCTTCAGGAAAATCATGTATATTTTGAAGAACCCTTTACAAGCCATTTGCTTAATAAACATAAAACAAAACAATATGATAGTGACCTGGTCTATAGACATATTATGCGCCAGAAGAGTACTTGGCTATAATCTGATTTACATACACTTTCCTCACTGAATCTAAAATATTATGCACCAATTTAATTTGTTTGTAGGCTGGATTAGTACTTGCTTAAATCCTTTATTATCTATCCTACTAAATGCCATTAAGTTGCTGGACTGTTTGAATCGCTATGCTTTTAGTACTGATATGAAACAGCTTGATTATTTAATGTTGCTGGACTGTCACTATAATCCTGTTACGGACTCTTTTTCTTGATATCCAAATATTTTCCCCGTGTATGTAATAGCAACAGAAATACTGCAATTGACTTACTGTGCTTTTTGTTTTCATATGTTTCAAAGCTGTACATGAACATCTTGGTATGCAAATCCATTTTAATTATTATTTTTAGAACAACCCTATAAGAATACCAGTAGCATACTAAAATAATAGTCATACTTTAAAGTATGCTAGTTTTTAAATACACTCAAAATCCCAAGTCTCTATTCTTTGATCAAAGTATGCTTATCAAAGCAATTTAAATGCAGGTCAGTAATAAGGCACTGAGTAATCACCATTTTACTGCTCCAACATCAATCAGATAAGAGGGATTAGGTCTATATTAATTATTTGGTAGAACAAAAAAGTTTATGCATATTAGAAGAGGGCTTCAGATTGGTATCAGGTTATTAAAAAAAATGTCTTTGCTGGTGCAGCTGAGTAGGAACTGAAGATTGCAATCTCACTAGACATTTTGTCCTTCTGATATGGTTATCAGATTCCTTTGTTCCATTTAACAGATAGCTATCTTCGTCAGTTGTATTGCTTTCTATTTATCAAGAATAATTTATACAAAACTACCGGTATATTGCTGGATATCTATTTCTGGTACTAGATAGCCAGCAGTGAGCAGCCAAGCGTAACTCCATATTTGGGATTATCTTCTAAATGAATTAATAAAGAAAAATGAAAACATGCTCAAGATTGAAATCAATCAGTAGGGGTGATCATATTCATTATTTAGTGGGTAGGACGTGCCTGCAAGAAATCAGGGTCCTACACGTTTGCATGTATTAAGAGAGAATATAAACTGCTTCAAGTGTACAATTCTGAAAGTTTCTTCCCAGAACACTTGTAACAGCTAGACATCATCACTGGTTTAAACACAAGGTTAGGTTTTACTAACACACAAGTAATTGGATCTTCATATTGAGCAGAAGCAATATATTTTAGGCTGATTTAACAGTGCCTGATTTGGGCAAGAAATGAGAAAAGACTCTTTCCCAAAGGCACTGAGGAGCTTTTCACCGTTCTTAAGAAGTTCAATATATTGTCATGTTCAGAAACCATATCCCTAAAATTAGGATGAAAAAGAAAGTGTTCTTTAGGAATGACTTGGATTATCTTCTCTGATGCTTGGTTGCTGCCCCAATGTATTTCAGGTGCGTAGCAAGCTCTGCTCAATTTATGAATCTGTCGTGAGATGGGCAGAAACTACACAGATGGGATTCTACTAATAATACCCATCAGCAAAAGCCCTGTGCAAGGACTTCTGCTTGTGCAACAGAGATTTCCCTCCCTCTTCTCTGCCCTGCACCTCCCACAAATTGGCTCAGGTGACCGGGAGAGGTTCAGGAGAAGCCTTCCAGAATAGCAAGATTGGGGGATGGGGAGGAGTAAGAGGAGAGGTCATTCGACCTGGCAAATCAAAAAGCTTGCGCTGACAGAACAATTGGAAAAGCACAACACAGACTTTATTCCCACAGTGAAGCCAATTAAAATAAACAAACACACCTGGAAGTGCTTCATATTATTTTTATCTATAAGTTTCTTAATATATTTCTAAAGCTTTAGCAATGTATCATATACCAAATTTGACATTCTCACTTTTAAAATTATGGCCGATATCTAAATATACTTTCAATAAATTTATATAATTTTAATAAAATGAATACTAAATTTTACCTTGACGAAAGGTAAAGAGCTACTTTTGATGCCATCCAAGAACTTGGATTTTTGACATTTTTTAGCCAGCCTCCCTGTTACATATCACAAACTATTTTTCAGTTTGCGGAGTAGCTTGGGGCCTGCTCTCTGAGGCACACAAGTAGAAAGGCTTCGTTGCGAGTGGCAAACCAGCCCACGTGTTCTTTGGACCCAAGCCAATGCCGAGAAGTTCAAATACAAAGATGGTTGAAAATTAAACAGCCAGCAATGTCGAACTGTAAAATTCTTTTGGTAATCAGAAATCTTTTGACAAACAGCTTGATTGCTTCTCTGGAAAAGCCATCTATATATTTATAAACTGCTGAAGGCATCAAAATGTGAACTGATGCATAGAATTAAGTGTTTGATGTCTCAGAGCTGTTATAAGAAGGAAATAATTACTACACAATTGTTTACATTTTAGCTGCCAAAAGACTTTTCGGTTGAACTGTGAAACGAGGGAAACTTCCCCACTGGGGGTGAAACATCAAGACTGCAGTTATGTCTGTATTCCATTTTCCATGTGTACAAAGAAATCAGCCCACTACTTGGTTGCTTGAAGATAAAAGAAAGCTTTTACATCAGTTCATGCAAGGCATACACAGAAAGATTTAAATTAGACTGTGCAACTTCTAAGTTGCATTATAATGCATTACTGTGACTAGGCCACCTCGTATCTTGGAATAACAGTAGCTGTAGTAAGAAATAGACACAGCAACTCCCTGTTGTCAGTTTCAGATTCAGTTTCTAGACAATGCAATCATAAGGATGGAGTCATGTGGGGAAGTAAGGCCACCTGATTAATGATTTCATTGATCAGCAAGTTCAAATAGAATATCCCCAAATACCTGTTAGATAAAAAAAAATCACGAAACCTTCTTTTCCATAATTTATGTAAAAGGCACTGCTTGCTAATGCGATATTCATTGATCACTAGAGGGGGCACTTTCTGTAGTTCTACATTGGTTTCAGAAAAATACCATGCTATACAGTGGTACCTCGGTTTACAAACTTAATCCGTTCCGGAAGGTCTGTTCTTAAACTGAAACCATTCTTACACTGAGGCACGCTTTCCCTAATGAGGCCTCCCACCGCTGGTGCCTTTCCACCGCTTCCGTTCTCAGACTGAGGTAAAGTTCACAAACCAGGACACTACTTCCGGTTTTGCGGAGTTCGTAAACTGAATCGTTCGTAAACAGGGCTGTTCTTAAACCGAGGTACCACTGTAATAAGGAATCCTTTCTCTGAGCCTTTGATCTTGATGTGGCCAAACAGCACCATCCACAGACAAGGCAGGTACTGGCAGGTACCCCAGCATTTGCAGAAGGAACAAACAAACAAAAACTAACGGGTGGGGGGAACCTAACTCCAGAAACAGTCAAATGAGGACTGCGCATGCTCAGTGGCAATGGCCATCACTGGAGCGTGCGGGAGAGTACGAAACCATTGGGCAGGGGGAATAGAATGGAGCCTGGGACCAGAGTACTGCATGCTGCAACATTTTGCTGCAGGTTCTACTTGTTCTGTCTGACAAAACTCGGAGCCAAATTA